TAGACTAATTCATTCATGCTGAAAGAATAGATTTTGATGAAATTGAACGCGTTTTTTTCTGTATCTAGTAGGTATAGTCGTGTAATCAAATGTACACGATTTCCGCGAAAGTCATCATTGGACTCAGAAATAATAACTTTGACACGAGTACTTTAATAGCGGTTCTTGGAGATGAAGATAAAAATTTTTCGTGACACGACGGAAAAGAGCCGTGCCCCATGGTCGACCGGATATGAATTTCATATTTTACGATAACACCCCGGGATGTTCTTGAAGTAAACGAATCTTGGTCTTCCGCAGGTTTCGCATAATTCAAAAATTCCCACTTACTCGCAGATTCTGGGACGCCGTCGTAATGTCAATTTTGATCTCACTGGAAATTTTAACAGCTAAAAATGAATCTTACGTCTTGACCTTTCTGGCTCGAACTTTCATTTCATTCAACTGAAAACGTTCGTAGTCCCTGTCTCAAGATTGAAATTTACATTCTAGACAACGAAAATAAACGCTTCGAATTAATAAATATTCCACTGATATTTTAAAATTGCAATATTTTCAAGCAATCGTGAAAATTTGGCGTATCGTACAGCAATATGAACGACGTAGATGTAATTGATTTCAAATCGACTAAATACATACCGTTTGTAAATTACTTATGAGTTCCGAAAATTCATGAAAATCCTGATATTCTTGTGCCTGTTAAATTCGCCGAATCCGTCTGCTTAGGTGCATTTTGAAATATTAATAAATTCGCGGTATCGCCGAAGCATCAAATTTTCCGGAGAGCGACTCCCCGTACACGAATAGATGCTCTGCAAATTCCTGTTAAGATAAGCGTTCCCGTAACAGCATATATTCTTACTTCACATTATTCTGTCATACACTATTACGCGCCTTAAAAATTTTGGTCGAAATTCTCCCTCGCCGGCGTCTATAAAACACACACGTGTCGAATTGCTCGCGTGTTTTTTACGTCGCCGTTATTTTCGGAGGTTGGAAAAACGCGTTACCGTGGAACCCCGGCTGTCATTCGCTCTTAATGACGGGAATTTGAATTCGAAAGTATCCGCTCGCACTTTTATCGGGACACTTTTCATCTCTGTTCTAGAATTTCAATCAATGCGATGCGTTTCCCCTCCACCGAGGTATTGCCCTGGCGAGCGTTAACATTCGTATATTTTCATAAACGGGCGGGGGAATATAAATAAATCAATCGCGCGACGAGCAAGAGATACACGTCATCGGAAGTAAATGGGAAACGTCAGAAATTTAATCGGTTTTGTAAAACGAGCACGCGTATGACCGCGTCGGACCTTTGTTTGTTTCAGCGAGAGTTGGTCAACATCACGATCCCCGGTTCCATTAGCTTGAATAGAGTAATTGGACACTGTCAATTCGAGAACGTAATTCCCACCGTAAATAGGGACTAACGATTTTGCTTAGAACTCATGGAAATGGACCATTTACAGCATCCGCGTTTTCCTGCGGACATCTAATTGGGATTAAAGGACTCACGGAATAACCGAACGACGGTTACGAAAGAGACTTTCAAAAGAATTCAAGCATTCAAACTGGACATCCATTTCTGAACCGCAACTATTCAGTATTAACCGTTCTATTCAAAGAGACAAATTGGAAATCTCGATCTTTGAAAATTAACATTAAAGTCAAAATAACGTTTTCTACATACTCAAATCTTTGAAATTCAAGCATAACCTTCTACAGTATTTCTCACTTTACCTACTCATCGCGCATATACAATAATCAGTTAAAAATTGAACATACCTATCTCCAAACACGTTATCAACACTAGAATCACCCAACTTGACTTCCCTCAGTCTCCTACTTCAATTCTTTTATTATAACATCAACTGACTTAGTAACTCCTAAGAAACCAGCAAAAGATATCAAGAACCAGTCATTGTAACCCATTCCACTCTAGCTTCAGGTAATTTCACTTTAAAAATAGTTGGCAACAATGGCAAACAATAAATACCATATCCACCCGCTCCATCGCGAAACTATAGGCTAATTATGCGCAAGTACTTCATTTACCAACGTCCACTGTCGGAACACCTCGAAGAACAACCTTCCAGTCATTCCGCAGGTACACATGTACGTGACACGTTCATTTCGCGGGTGGTTGTAACGTCACTTGACCCAAATAAATGGGAATGTTCGATCTTTCAACGCGGGGCCATTGAAATTCTCCGTCCACCCCCACGCGGCCCAGCGCGCCCTCCGCTGGAAAATCGTTCCGCGCGCGAAAATGCGAAAGCTTGTCGACCATTTCCTATAGAAAACGCCACGGGGTAGATAGCAACGTTGGGCGCAATCAAGCCGGGGCGCCATTCATAAACGGAAGACGATAACATAACTGAAATTCGATTAGTCGTTCCACCGTTTCGGCGATCGCCGGTTTATCACCGCCGCGATGCTCCGTTGAGGGGAAAGGGTAAACGGTTATTTCCACCGGTACGCTCCGCGGTAATCGGTTCTAGTTTCGGCGGTGCCTCGTCGAGTAAGTGCGAGAGCCGCGAGGATCTTCGTGTGTCGTGGATATCGGTCGATTGTGAGATTGAACGTTATAATGGCCGTTCTGTTTCTACCGTAACGCGTGAACGCTAGAGGTGCACTACAACCTGATGATCGAGCTCAGCTCGAGTCGGGTTTTCGAAAGAATAGGATTTAACACTGAAACTACCAAGCAGATGAATTGCCTTTTTAAAATTGTTCTGTAGAAACCTCAACAGTTCAATCAAATTATTGAGATTGCAGTTGGTTTGCAATTCAGTTTGTGTATTGCTAAATCAGTTTCTTTAGTACTTTTTCGGAGAAGCATCTGTTATCTGTTGAATAATTGGGAAAAATGAAATTAGGAATGGGTCATTTTGACCCATGCGGTCATTCTAGTGTTAATATTGAAACTACCAAACAGATGAATTGCCTTTTTGTAAATCCTCTATAGAAACTCTAAGACTGCAGCTATTGAAGTTTTAACTGTTCTAACCTCTTGCCTTATGATTTATTTCTCAACTGTGATCAATAGAATAACTTTAATAATGTGTTGGAAAAAGAGGAAAATTTTATGCACACTCTATGTCCATCTTTACTCTGAAATATAATAATTGATAATGGAAATATGATGTTTGATTTGCGTTCATAAGGCTCGAGTAATATTCATTTTTGTCAAATTCTGTTTAAAATCTTCATCACGAGTCTTACGCGTTATTGTAAGCCAAAGGGTTAATTCAGTTTACGTATTGCGAAATCAATTTCTGTTTAAGAATTGTAATTTCTTTAATAAGATATATGATTTTAGAAATGTACAGTCTCGGTAATATTGGTAAAATGTTTCTCGTACAATGATGTTTCACATTTGATATTAGATGTAAAGATTGATTCGGTGCCTTTCGCTTTAACCAATTGCAAATTCACTTCAGATTTTCAGATAAACGTTAATAATACGATATTTGATGTTCGTGAATTAACCGTGACTACGTAAATTGCTACTCGTTATCACTGTGCGAAAGCAGCGTGACGAGGAATATAATTACGTGAACACCTGTCGTGCCTGTTGTGACTCTTTGAGCGATTTCATCCCCTCTTCAAGGAAAATCGGAATGATGGTTGGGAGGATATTATTTTTGAAGTATTTTCTATGGAGACGAAATGGAAAATTTTAAATTAGAAGAGGGAAGGAAAAGTATTCTTTTGAAATGGTAATTTTAATTGCACTTAGGGGTTTCAAATTAAAATTAATTGAAGTTATGAGTCTAGTTGGAAATACCAATACCAAATCTCTTTCCAGTTAGTTTCAAATGATACACGACTATAAAATATCCGTGTTTCCCCAATTTTATCGAATTTACCAAATTGTAAACGCCAATGAAATTATTTCGAAAGGGGTAATCATTTCGTTTTGATTGCAAGAGATCCGATACGGTGGAAGTGGCAACAGGAATCGATGCCGCCATTTACGTTACTCCTCTAATGCGTGCATGGCTTTGGCCGTTAATATTTTGTAACAAATACTTTGACCCAGTTTAGACCATTATTCCAATTGTCCCGAAAGATTTGTCGGCAGCGGCCGAAAGTCCAATATACGTAATGGAAAGTCGAATCGTTGAATGCACGCGGTTGAGCTAAGAACGGCCTCGTTTGTTTTCGATCAATCGGTTTAATATTTCCTCGGCCTTCGATTCCACTCGGAAAACGTTACCAACGGTAACGAATCGTAAATATAGTTTCACTTATTTTTAGCTGAACCCAGCTTTATCATAATATATTAATTAGAAATGCATGACGTGTGCGTTTTAACACGCAAGTCGTCCAAATGAAAAAGAATCATGAAACCCAATGAAAAATCGCATCCGAACAATTTCAACTCGAGTCTTCTCCACTTTCCAGTACACGAAATTAAAGTTCAAAGTCTGCGTTTCAACATGCAAGTAGTCTTGTTTAAAAATAATCACGAATTCTATTGAAAATCACGACCAAACGTCAAGATTGACCGAGGCTGAAAATGAACTACCAAGAATGGAACGATTTTCAACTTGACCAACCGACAGCTTTTCCAACTTTCGACACATGAAATTGTAGCTGGAAGTCTGCGCTTTATCATCCAAATAGCCCTGTTCGAGCAGAATCACGAGAATCTATTGAAAATCGCGACCAATCGGTCGGGACTGTTCTGGTTCCCAAAAACGTCAGGATTCCCGGGTAACTCGACGTGCCCGAGAATTTCAGAATTTTTAAAGTAGTTAGCGGTATTGTAATATTATTAATAATATAATTGATACTGTGGACAACAGTGTAAATTGAACAAGTAGTGTTTTAGTCTTGTTCTCGATGAGGTGTTCGATAAGTTGAGCGAGAATCCTGCGAAATAGGAGAATCTCTATATCGTTTATGTCAGCGGGGTCGTTTCGGGTTGTAACGAGCAGCTGATTCGCTGGTGATCGGTATGGAGAGACATTCACGGAATTATTATGTTGCAGATCTACCCATGGGCGCGCCCACTATCAAATCGGAACGTGAGCGTTACGACCCGGGAGACACTTTGAAAGCAAATTGTAGCCTGCCACCCTCGAAGCCGCCGGCACATCTCTCATTCACCCTGAACAACGTGGCGGTAAGTGAAACCTGTAATCCACGTGTCATTATCGAATCCCTAGTTACACGGAGCCGCAAAATTAATAGCGTAAAAGTGTTAGTATACAATGCTGCGCGCCCCGACGTTGCTCGCTTCGCCTCCACCTCTGTCATTTTCGATAATTTCGAGGAACGTCTGAGCGAGGGGTTGTTTTGCCTCGTAAGGGAAACAGATACGGGAACCCTGTAATTGACAGCGATGCACACGGACGATCTGATAGCGAAGTTTAGAACGTGACTAGTAGCTGTTACGAATAATTAATTATTCCTCGAAATAATCTGTGAAATGTATGTATATCTCCGAGTTTTGTCGTCTGTTAAAAGTATCTTTTATCACGTATGAAAATACAGTGCATCCAATATTGTCAATAGTTTTTACTCTACAATATTCGGAACGAAACAACGCATCCCGTCTGCAGGAAACTCGAAAAATTTCGATACTTCAAACGGTGAACGGTTCACTAAAGACGTATAAAGACCGTATTCACGTAACACTAGAACTACTAGATGTATCAAGTTGACCCATTCCTACTTTCTTTCCCAATGATTAAAAACATAAGGAACTGATAACTAAAGAAATTGATTTAGTAATCCTTAAACTGAATGATAAGTCGATTGAAATCTCAGTAGCTATCCTTAGAGCTCTTATAGACAAATAACGAAATGTCGGTTTGACTGCTCGGTAGTTAGTGTTAATCCCGAATTAAAAGATCGTATCGTTCGAAAGCGATTTATCATCGATCGAATAATAATCGCACAGTTCAACTGCCATTCTCGGCCGAATGGCGTTAAACTTTTACAGCTCGCCGAGTCCCATATCTCGCGCAGCGTAAAGTATTCACGCGAACCGCGTTGAACGGGGACGATCCGTAGGAATCCGGACATTCCCGGCATAAAGTGAATTCGAAAAAAGAGTTTCCGCCGTTCACAATATTTACCTCCCTACAAGTGAACGAACTTTCCCCCGCTTTTTGCCAGGATCCGAATCAATTTTCACTGATAACATCGGCTGCTCGCTCTCCCCGTCCGCGTCTATGTACGCGCGCATACACGCGCTCGTCTATACATCGGCGAAGTAATTGCACGATATACGAGGGGAACGTGGAAGTTATCGCAGTATGAAAGTTTGAGGAGCCGCTCTATAAAAGTTAAGGAGGTTAAGCAAAGAAGAGAACTTTTCCTCTTGAAAAATCTTTCCGGGCGCGCTGTTCTATGACTCTGTGTATATTAGTCCCGGTGTCTCCTTTCACCAAGGATTTGTTTCTCATAATTTTTGAAGTCCGTTCCATTTGAATAATTATCCGCTCAGAGGATTTCCATCCAACATTTCCGCTCGCCCCGTTCCTCTCTCGTTTGCTCTCATTCTACCGATCCTTTTTCTTCCCGTTCCGCAAGAGAACAGTGATACGCAGAATTTAAATTAAATTAGAGACCCCTGAAAAATGTTCGCCGATTCATTCGCCGGAGCGAAGGCGTAGGCCGGCGACGATGCATTACCTATAATCCCGCGGGATGACGAGCCGGGATCTCATTACCCGATACGGCTAAATACGCGTATTCGCGGAATGAAACGCTCCTCGCACTTGGCGGAATTTTGTTTAACTAACTTCGACCCGTTTAATATTTTCGGCGAGTTCGCCGCCGGCGCACGGATTCTTGCTGAAAATATTTGTCAATCCTGCAAGTTAGAGTACACACGGAACTATCGGGAAACAGATGCCGAACAGAAAAGAGCTACCGCTGAATATGCGCGCGGCGCTCGGAGCGCAGAACGGTGCAGATGATTTCCATGTGGAAAAATCGAAATACGGAGCGACCCTTGTTTCGTTGAATTCTTCGTTTCCGAGGGAATCGTGTTTGTTAGGTAAGCATTACTCGAGGCATATTCTCTCTTCTGATCGTAAAACGAGGATTGTCTCAGAAACAAATTTTTATTCATACTTCGGATGTATCTCGTTACATAGATTCGCGTGTAGACTCTCGACAATGACAAACTGGTCCTAAGATAACCTAGAACGAGCTGAAATTTCTAAGTTTTCCTCATTTTCCCTTAGAAAATATGGTCACCGTATATACGCTGCGGCATTATATTCTTCGCGCTGAGACACTAACTACTAGAAATATATATCTTCAAGAGAAACTGGTTACTTGAATTTTGGCTTGTGAATGGGTTTGCTATATTTGTATTTTATTCTGGATATACGAGAGTGTAACAATTTTAGAACACAGGAATATACTGTATTCAAAGGTGTCATAATACTTTTCGTACTGTAAAGAATTTTGTTCCGGAGCAACTCTCATTCGGATATTTTAGAAAGTTATTCCCGTTTTAATCCAGCAACAGAGTCTGAACGTCAGAGAAATGGAAGACGGCGCGTGGAACGCGTATGGGGTCCGATCTATACGTGTCCCGGAGTGGCGTCTTACTTTTATCATATTGCATTACTTGCTCATAAGCGAGAGTGCAAAAGAAAAACGTGTGCCGGCGTGGTTTGCCATTTCCTCTAACCCGCGCCACGATGAAAAAGCTCTTGGAATGTACGGTTATGGGGGAAAGCCGGCGCTCGGTTCTTTACCAGACGAGCCGGAGAAAATTAGTAGTACGCGTACATGCGGGCAAAGAAGCGCTGTCTTATAGGGACTTACGAAGATGCGGGGGTGGGTGCTTCGGTTTGTTAGTTTCTTACATTTAACGCCGTCTCGGGGATATCCGCCGAATTTCTAGCTAGCATTCCCGCGGCAACAAGAAATAAGTAATTTCGCAAACGACACCTTATCGCGATGAAGCCGCTGCGAGCGAAATACACTCGCTCCTAAAGTGATAATAATTCACGCGTTTCACATTGCACTAACTCGGGAAGTTGTACGAATATTATTTGAAACGACTTTTCTGTGTCAACGTAATTTCCACTTGGCAGGTGTTTTAACCCCTCGTGATAAAATGACGACGACTGCTCGTCGTTGGTTTTTCGTGACGGACTGTACAGTGACGGGCTACGCTCGTTAAATAACTACAGTTACAAGTGTTATGTTTTCATATTTACAACATTTGTGCAGTTTCTGATTGAAAATTAATTAGCATAATAGATAGAGTATCTTGTCAGGTTAGTTTTAATTAACAAAATGTGTGAATCATAAAATGGAACGCGTTGTTTTCTTTATAATGCTTCTATCATAAAAAATTTTTCATGATTATATCGTGCCGGAAAGGATTAATGAAGACGGTGCTACGTCGAGTTCTCAAATTTCGTGCATTCTATGAAATTATACTTTCGAAGATTCTATGCATGCATGAAAATTCGCTGTCTAATGCTCACCTTAAAGTAACATTAATTTGTTACACATTCTGTATTGGATTCTGTCGTAAAAATGTGTCGACGATTTTGAAACAACTTTCTGAATATAAATATAGAGTATCCACTTGGTGGGTACTCGGTCGTAATGAAGTCACTGCGAGCCGAACACACCCCACACGAAAGTGATAATAACTCGCACGTTCACGTTGAATTCACTTGGAAAACCGTGCGAGTGATTTTCGAGTAATTTTTACGTTTAACGTAATTTCCACTGGGTGGTCAGTCGATTGTAATGAACTCGCTGCGAATCAAACGCAATCATTTCGGGATAAAGTTAATTTGCTGCAGATTTTGCATTCGACTGTTTTGTAGAATTGTGTAAATAATTTCGAAATCATTTTTTGCGCGTTAATATGAATAATTTTCACTCAGTGGAAATTCCATCGCAATAAAGTCGCTATCAATACTCGCCTTTGAAGTGATACTATCTTGCTGCAGGGTTTTTGCATTGAATTCACCCGCAAAATCGTGTAGATAATTGTCAGAAAATTTTTTGGAGTATTCACATTATTTTCACTCGGTTTTATACGATACTTAAGTGCAAGCTACCATTTGCAGCAATTACTTTTCCTTCGACTTGTATTCCTTTTTACACGATTACCATCGCGATCTTAATTTTTGAAATTAACAACGCACAACGAAATGTAAATCCTCTCAATATTTCGTCGCGAAAGTATTTACCTGTACATTACGTGAAATTATCATTAGCTCTGGAAACGTAACTTTTAATGACGAAACTTCCAGCCCGTGTAACAAATTAGTACTTCCAGACGTGCCTTCTGTTTTCAGGATTTTACAGTTGTTAACTAGTCTTGCGCGTCGTAAATTGCTAACAATTTGTACGGTATCGGCTGCGTTGAAACTGCAGGAAAAATGCCAACGTTAAGAATATAATTTCGAGGGTACATGGGCGTGTCTTCATTAAGTCGTTGGCAACATGAGAATAATTTCATATCTCTTTCTCGCGGGAAAACCGAAGTGTCTAAAATTAGAATTCAGTATCTAGTATAGCAATTAAAGTCTAAATAGATACATTCTCGGAGTTTCTACAGAGAATTTTAAAAAGTGAATCTAATTGCTCGGTACTTCTAGTATTAACCCTTTGAAGAGCAGTATCCATGCAATTCAACACGATTTGTAGCATAAATTTTTGCATCAAGAATTGGAGGAAATAATTTAATGAATCGAGCAGTAAAAGAACACATAAACTTCAATTTAATTACTCAGTAGTTTTAGTGTTTACCCTCTGAGGAATAGTATCCAAGCAATTCGAGACGATTTAGAGCACAAATTTTTCCATCAAAAATCGGAAGGAATGATTTAATGATTCGAGCAAAAGAACAGATGAACCTCAATTATACTGGACAGTAGTTTTAGTGTTAAAGTAAGTGTAAAATTCCTAACGAACGAGAGGAACGAAATAACCCGAGTAGCAGCGTTCTACGTGTGTGTTTACGGTTTAATAAAGGTTGCACGTGAGCGATTCAGTGGAGCCATGTTAAATGGCAGCCATCGGCTGCCTTTGATAGACCCTTATCGCCAGGCCGCTGTACAAAATGACAAAATGACGTATTCCTCCTGCGACGGTAAACGCGCGTTTTTACAGAATCGTAAAACGGGATCG